GACCGAAATCCATATTGATGATCAGAAAGTAAGTTATTTGATTCAAGATGAGAGATTAAGTGTTTGTTGATTAAAGATTCAAAAACCTTGCTTATGACAGGAAGAAGACTAATGGGACGGTAGTTAGATGAATCAGATCGCTCTCCGGAATTTTTGAAAATAGGGATAACAGATGCTGCTTTCCAGCATGATGGAAAACAGCATCTGTTAAGCACTTGTTAAATAGTTTAGAACTGACTCTGATAAGCACTTGTTAAATAGTTTAGAAAGTATGGATGAAAGCTCCGGAGAACACCTCTGCAAGACTACTACAGGAATGTTGTCAGGACCACAAGCTGTTGAAGAGTCTAAGCAGGAAATTACTTTAGATACAGAAGCTGAAGTGATGCGAATGTCAAGCAAGGGATCAACCTGTTTGACAGCTATGTCAGGTAAAACGCAACTAGTGGAATCAAGAGATGATATTGATGAAAAGTTCTTAGCAAACAATTCAGCTTTGTCTTTATGTGAGGTGACAAAGTCTGAACCATACAAGAGAGAAGGAATAACAGATTTGCCCTTATTATTGATACTGTTAAAGATTCTCCAGAAGTCTCGAGAGCCTAATTTTTGTGATGAGATACGAGATTTAATGACCTGGGAATAGCGAGCTTTGGCGATAGTGAACAGATGTCTGTTTTCTGGAGAATTGTTTTGCTGATAGATATGGAAGTAACGGTTTCGATTAGAAATTGCTGCAGCGCAATGTGAGGAAAACCAAGGAGAAGAGTGAGGCTTGACCTGGAATCGTCGAGAAGGAATAAAAGATTCCATGCCAGCCTGAATCCACGAAGTTATGTAAGAAGCACATTTGTCAGCAGAAAGACAAAAGATTTCTACCCAAGGGCCATCACGAAGAAAATCACGGAAAGAGTCCCAGTCAGCTTTAAGGTAGTTGTATGTGGTACGATGATAGGGGGATTCTGATGAAGTAGAAGAATTTGATAATAGTTTTAGAGAGATCAAACCGTGATCAGAAGTGCCTAAGGGTGAATGTGGAGAAATTGAGCACTGACTAGGATCCAAAACAAGACATAAGTCGAGTAGAGAAGGTAAATGATTAGGGTTGTCTGGAAAACGAGTTGGAATGCCCAGGCCAAGCATGTGATTATTGGAGTCTTTACGAATTAAAGGAAGATAACCATCAACACTAAGATCACAAGATGGGACAGCCGAACTCAAATTAGTCTCACAAAGAGCAAGTAGGTCTGGTGAACTTTGCAAGAGATAAGACTCAACAGAAGAAAAGTTACTTTGAAGACCACGAATATTAGTAAATGATAGGTTTAGAGAACTTGGTGATGACGATGGTTTTTTGTGTTTTTTAGTTTTAGGTACTTTAGTCATTTTAAATTTATAAAGAACTTGACTCAAGTATAGATAGTACTCAGTACACTATTTAACAACTAAGCAATAGCCTCATTACTATTAATAAACCCTAAGCCGTAACAAAGGGCGCCAAATGTGGCCTCTGCAACGCACACCAAAAGTACAAACAGGGACACCATCCATGCGCAACATGGCACTGTTAGTACTCTGATATTTTTCGGCTGTTGATGGAATCAGCCTCTCTGAGAGCTACCACAGAGTTCGGGAGACCTGACTACCAGCCGGCCTCAGAACCATAAAGCTGAGTTTTAGAGCTGTACCCTCATTAGGAGATAATAGAATGAGTTGCCCAGTCATAAAAATAGAGACACAAGCAATACCCACGCATTGAGTCAAGAAGATCCAGCGTTCAACATCCTAAACTGGAAACAATGTATTAAAAATACATCTGCGCCAGCCTAATAGATGAGGAAGGGGTGCGAGGCTGGTCAACAGATAGAATCTGTTTACCCCTTAAGACTTATTTAAAATTTAAAAAAGGACTTCTGAATTTTGCTAGAAACATGTTTCTACAGATAAAAATTTACTATGAAGACATAGGTTGTTTATGATTTATAAACTTTAATACTGTAGTCACATTTAAGTTAATAGAGAGAAAATAACTCAAACATTTGTAGTACTTCGAACCCGAATCACAGCCCCAGTAAAATTATAAGATTTAATTATAAGGTTTATAGCCGGGGCTAGAAAAAAGTTTATTATAATTTGTATATAATAATTTTATGCTTACACTTACTAATTATTAAATACTGGCATACATTTATATATTTTTAAAATCTAATTTACTTCCAACAAGATTCTAATAACTATTAAGCAATAACTATTAAGTTATAAGTTACTTTTGTTTCTTATCTACATAAATGATCTTCCTGACAACCTTTCATCTAAAGTAGCTCTTTTTGCTGATGACTCAACTTTATACTCCTGTCTTGACAAAAAGTCTTCTCTTTTCGATCGCCTAGAACAAGCAGCTGATCTTGAATCTGATCTCACTTCAGTAATAGATTGGGGTTCACAGTGGCTTGTGAATTTCAACTCTAAAAAAACCCAATTGCTTACTGCAAACAACTACCGTAGTATGGTCAACATTCCTATATTAATGAATGGCAATCCTCTTACTGAGTCGTCCTCTTTACGTCTTCTTGGATTATCGCTTACTACTGACCTTTCATGTAAACCATATATACAATCGATTGCTAAATTAGTTTCTGCTAAGGTTGCTTCTCTTTATCGTGCTTGCCATTTCCTTACTTCTGATTCCATTCTCTACCTCTACAAATCTCTTATTCGTCCCTGTATGGAATACTGTTGTCATATTTGGGCTGGTTCTTCTAACGATTCACTTTCTCTTCTTGACAAGGTCCAAAAACGCATTGTAAATGTTGTTGGACCTGGACTATCTGCTAAGCTTGAACCTCTTTCCCATCGTCGTAAAGTTGCATCTCTTTCTCTTTTCTACAGATACTATCATGGTCACTGCTCAAAGGAGTTATCATCTCTAGTTCCATCAACTAAAATTCATTCTCGTTTTACTCGTCATTCAGCTAAGTCTCATTCGTTTACTGTATCTGTCCCAGCATGCTCTAAAAACTTTTATTCATCTAGTTTTTTTCCCCGCACTTCAATCCTTTGGAACTCTCTCCCATCTTCATGTTTTCTTGACTCCTACAACCTTCAACTTTTCAAGTCTTCTGTCAACCGTTTCCTTGCTCTATAACTCTGTTCTTTTTTTTCCTAGTAACTCCCAACTTAATAGTGGTTGCTTGCAGCCTTGTTGGGAGTGAATGCAAATAAAAAAAAAAAAAAAAAAAAAAAAAAAAAACTTTAAAATAGAGAACAAGTTAATATATTAGGAAAGGTGTAACTGAAGACTTAAAAAGTTGTAAGTTGTATAAAAAAAGGAAGAAATTAAAATGGGTAAGAATTATAAGGTGTTTTTGATGTTCAAGAAAAAAAAAACTGAATTAATAATAGTTTTTATAGCATGGGACAGATCAGTAAAAGAATGCAACTTGTTGAATAAAAAGCCAAGCAAGAATGAACTTTGGTTTATCCTTATAGAGATGATAGTTCATTTGAGCATTGACCATTATTGTATTTGTAGAAAAAAGAAAGAAATGCAACCTTACAACTATGGAAAAGTGGCTCAAGTTTGGCAGGTAAAGCAGGTCAAATTAGAGTAAGATTTCTTTGCAAATAACTCTGCTTTATTCTGGGGAGAAGTAAATTAGATGTTAGGCTTACTTTAGATGTCAGGCTTACTTGAGTTAATGACACTGTTGAAGACTAACCAAAAGTCTCTAGAACCTAACATCTGAGATAAGATACAAGATTAATTAAACTGAGAATTACAGAGCTTAACATCATTGGCTTCTTGCAATAATAAAAGGACATTTATTCTTAAGAGAGATATTCTTGTAAAATAGACGAAATAAATGTTTAATAAAGCAAATGCTCAAAATGGTAAAAAAATGAGGTGTAGAATGAGGCTTGACTTATAATTGAAGAGAATTAATAAAAGCTTCCGAAATTTTATACCATAAGGAATAAAAGCTTCCAAGATGCACTTTATGCATACATATTATTGATATAAACATATAAGTTTATTATTTATTTAGATGCTGGCATACAATATCATTTCATTGTTATATAAACTTTAGTATTTATATGGTGTAGTATTTAAACAACGTTTGTTAGAAAAGATTTAAGTAATTCATGTAATCAGCATGTAGGGAGGTAGCATCTTCAGTAGAAAATAGTAGTGGTAGAAGTAAAAAAACTTGAATTTTTTTTCTTAACTAAAGCTCATTCATACATATTGTATGAATGAGCTTTAGTTAAGAAAAAAAATGCTCTAGATTGTTTATATTAAAGAAACAGCATAAAAGAGGAATGCTAAAGCCTGATGATGATCATCATCATGATGATGATCATCATCATCATGATCATCATCATGATGATTGTCATGATGATGATGGTGATGATGATGATCATCATCTTCATCATTGTGATCATCATCATCGTCATTATGATGATGATGATGATAATCATCATCACAGGCTTTAGCCTTCCTCTTTTATGCTGTTGATGATGATTATGGTGATCATGCTAATCATAATGATGTTTATATATTACCCCGGTCATACTAGCTTTAATAATGCAAAACTAAAGGATTTACAGAGAGGATGTTCATGCACAGTATGGCACTGTTAATGCTCTGATATTTTACAGCTGTTAATAGATATAGCTTCTCAGTGAGTTCAGGAAGCCTTTATAAATGTTAGCTTCAAAACCATCAACTGATTTTTGTTGTAAATTGTAGCACATAAACTTTTTATAGCTTTATATGAGGTGATTGTAATTCTTGTATTAGTGATTCTTAGCACATTACTATCTTTGAAATCTTAGTCATTAAATTTATTATTTTCAAGACTTTCTAGTATGAAATCCTCTAAATAATGTTCCAGTTTTGAAACTGCTCATAATGTGCTACTTTCTTCTCCAGTTAATATAGATTTTTTATATAAATAGTTTATATTTACATTTTTTAGCATATTTTCTTTATATCACAGTTCTCAAAAATTATTATGGCTCTCAATCATTCTCCTGACAAGCAGAAGTTACAAGATCTTGCAAACAGACTTAGAATTTTGAGCATAAAGTGTACTAATGCATCAAAATCAGGGTAATGTTTAAATTATTTTTAAAAAATATTAAATTTTGGTTAATTCATACAATTGTGCATATAAACTTTTTTTCAGTATTAAAAAAAATGTGTTTTGGTAAACACTTTACACACTTTAAATTTTAATGAACATGTGAAATAAATCCAGCATTAGATGGATGTAATATGGTATAATGATATGGTTATGTCACTTAAGTTGTTCTTTTTACTGATGGCACAACTATATACCTGGAAAACCTGGAAAATTAGTTAATTTTGGCTAAAGTCATGGAATACCTGGAAAAGTCAGGGAATTTTTTTTTTTTAATCAGATAATTAGGGAATTCTGATTGAGAAGTTACTCATGTTGCAATTAAGCGATTATGTTTTTTTTGGTGCTACCCTTTAATTTATTTTGACAATTAAAAAAGTACCCTACAGTGTTTCACTGGATAGTGTGTGATCGCACGTCATTATTTGCCCACACAATTTAACAATTTAAAATTTTTTAAAAATTGTAATAAAAATGCGCTGAAAACCTAAGCATAAACTTAAAAGAAAATAACAGCAAGCTAAACTAAAAAAAAAAGGAAACCTTAATGAAAGTGAACAAAATAAACAAGTAAACATAAGAAACTAAAACTCCTAATTACATTTTAACTCTTAATTAAATTACATTTGGAATAAACAACTTTGATATTTTCTATTGTGTTTATTAGTCCATCCCATTTTGACCCTGATGAACAAATTTTAATGTCGTAAAATATTACCAAGGTATTGTTTTCTTAATAAAAATTTCTTTTTTTAAATTTTAGATGACAATGTATAGTTGCGCCACTCTATTAAAGTTTAACATTTTTACCCTTTTTAAGTTTTTACTGACATTTTCAAGCAATCAGCGCAAATAGAAATTTAGAAATCATTAACTATATAATAACGTCATTACAAGTAATGAAAGGTTTTTTATCTATACTGATTGTACGCATTTTTATTACTATTACTTTTGTTAACTGGTGGTATTTTAAAAACGATCAAATTCATTATAAAATTAAAAAAATGTGATTTTTAAATGAGTTAGCGTTAGAGTTGCAAAAAATCGCGTTTTTTTTCTCTTGCGTTTTTATGGGTCAAAAAACCCCTTTTTTTTTGTGTTTATGTGTTTTTTTTTAGTTTTAGTTTTTTTTACTTTTTAAACAAGTTTTTTATTTTTCTTTGTAAACAATTTGGAAGAGTTTTTGTTTTATTCTGTTTATTTATAGTATATAATCATTATAACCACAAATACAATGTATAAACACTAATTTAAAGTTAATGTTTTAATAAAAAACTTAAATGAGCTATTTATTAAGTTTATTTATTAGACCATTTAATATTAAGTTAGTTATAAATCTAGTTATATTGTATGAGAATGTTTATTTGTTATGTTTTACTTCTTAAATATTGTTGTACTTCTTAAATATTACACTCATTATATACATAAACTATACTTGTCCTATGACAAAATAATCATTTTTATAATTCAAATATACTAATATACAATATCATACTTATTTAATATTAGACTTAAAATTCTTTAAAGAAATAGATGATCCTAATATTTATTATGTAATAAATTGGTCTTACACTGTTTGTTACATATGTTGAATTATATTGCCAATAAGTCCTTATAAAAAAAGCTTAAACTTTATTTAATTTAAATGAAATTATAATATTTTTGAATAATAATGTTTAGTAGTGTAGTACTGTGTAGGGTAGTAAATACACAATTAAAAAAAAGTATATTTAAAAAGTATATAAATATTTAAGCAAAAAAGTCAATTTAATAATTTTAACATGTATTTAAACTATAAAATATATTCTAAATGGATGTGCTTTCTGAGTCCGAGTATTTCTGCCCTAGACTATGTTCATCTAATGATTCATAAACAAAGTCACTGTCGCTTTCTATATTAACTGCTTCAGACTCTGACCAAGGCATTGATGTGCTAGGAACTTTATTACACTCGAATTATTAATTTGAGGAGTAGTTATGCTTGTACCATTTTCAAAACTGGTGTTTTCAATATTTTCAAGTTTTTAATTTTGTGAAATGAAAACTAGTTTTCCAGCTCTTTCAGTCGTTAAGTGATTTCTTTTCGCACTATGAATGTTAGAATAAGTGCTAAAACTTCTCACACATGCTGCACTTGAAGCTGGTAGCTGAAGAATTCTAGATACAACTTTCGATAGTTCAGTAAAGGAACACAACCCTTTCCACCAATTTATGGGTTGAGTTATTCCAACTGCAGTCCAAATAAAGGGTTTTGAAAATATGCCACCCTTTGATTGGTAATTAGCCAAGTCAAACATGGTTTCTTTGTTTACTTCAGGCATACTTGCAGCAATGTTGTGTTTTGCCTCACATGCATCAATCTATAAAAAGATTTTTCTTTCAATTATTTTACAATTACTTTATTATTTTTAATAGTATTTTCAAATTTGAAAATAGTATTTAAGATAATTCAAAATTTTTTAAAAAATTTTACTTTTAATGCACAAGGCTAAAATGTATTTGGTTTTGAAAATCATATATGAATTATTTGTAGTAAATACCTTATGTTCTGCAGTCAAGACTCTGCCTTGAAATTTGGGATCTAGTATATTGGCAGCCAAGTGAATTTCTGTTAAACAAAATTCTTTTCTTTTCTTGAAGATCTTTTTGGCTTCTTCTTCTTCCTTTTTTGAGAATGGGCTAACTGTTAAGTTTTTTTAAATGTGGTCTTCCAAGTAGTGAAAAGTTTCCACAACAGTAGATAACATGGGAATATTTGATTCAGTTTTCTTTATTGCATCAGCTATTGGTGACAGCAATTTGAAAAAACCTTCAACTCTGTCCCAAAAAATATCTGTTAGAAGAAAATTTTTTGTTGCTGAATTAAGTCCACTGTTTTCAGAAATAGCCTATACTTTTAATGGTTGCTTATTTTTTTGTATGCTATCTAAGCGTGCTACAATTGATCCCTACCTTTAAATAAAACTCAAAGAAACTTGCAGCCAACCTTCAACCTCTGTCACATCGTCGTAATGTTGCTTCTCTTTCTCTTTTCTACAAATACTATAATGGGCACTGCTCTAAAGAGCTAGCGTCTCTTGTGCCACCTACTAAAGTTCATTCTCGTGTTACTCGTCATTCAATTAAGTCTCATCCTTTTTCTGTTACTGTTCCTAAGTGCTCCAAAAACTCTTACTCGTCTAGTTTTTTTCCTGGAACATCAGTTCTTTGGAATTTGCTTCCTTCATCTTGCTTTCCTGATTCATATAATTTTCAATATTTTAAGTCGTCTGTCAATCGTTATCTTGCTCTACAATCTTCATCTTTTCTCTTCCAGTAACTTCCAACACTAATTAGTGGTTGCTTGCAGCCTTGTTGGAAGGGAAGATGTTTAAAAAAAGAAAAAAAAAACTTATAATAACTGTAATAAATTTTGAGTATAGTAATTTACTAAATGAAATCTATTTTTATGAATGTATAATAAAATGAGATACATAATTCAATTTTTTTTGTAATGTACAGTATATTCTTTAATTGTATTACCTAGTTCATACTTGTAGTTTCAAAGAAATGCACCTTATTGCACCAGCTGACTTTTTTTGTATATCTCTAAATGCTGCAACAGATAAATGAGAATTTTTTATCTCTTTAATAATATCAGTTGCTTGTGAAATCAAAACACTTAAAGTTGTCAATTTAAAAAAATCTTTGAACAGCAAATTTAAACAATGTGAAATGCATCCATAGCAATGAAGATGAGGATAACAATCTTTTAGACGAGTCCATGCATTTTTCATATTTGCAGCATTGTCAGTCACAATGACCAAAAGTTTGTTAGGATTTATTTCTTCAAAAAACTTTCTTCATTTCATTTACCATATATTTACCAGAATGGCTTAATGTTCCTACAAAACAGTTTATATATTGTATTATATTATATATATTGTACTATGTAAATTATAAACCTGTTTAGTGATATATTATTTTTGCTTACTGAAATGGTTTTCAGTGTCATTTGTTATAAATTTAATATCAGAGTTAATTATAAAATAGTATGCATATTTTAAAAGTCAGTCTGTTAAGTAAATCCATTGTATACAGTACTAGAATTATGGTTTTACCTGTAGGCAATGTCTTTCACAAAATGAGTGATGAAGAAGGCAATTTCATTACAAATTTAATGATAGCTTCATTTCTGTAATGAAGAAACAGTATATAAACAAATATGATCTGTTTATTAACTAAATAATATAGTTTCAATTGCATCAACTAATATTATATAAATTGTTACTGTACCTTAAATTGCTCCATCAATCACACAACAATCTAAGATAATCTGCAGTTGCCACGTTTCTTTAACATTTGCTGAAATCCTTGAAAATTCATTATCTAATAATACATACATATCTAATAATACATTCATGTCTTGACAGAAGCTTATAAGCAGGACGTAACTTATTGGAAAAGATTTTCCAATAGTTATTTTCTACTATATGGAGTGGCAATCTGTTGGCATGTATTGCTCTGGCTAGGTGTGTATCAATTAATTCCTGCAATAGATAATGTCATACTAGTATATCAGTCAATCATGAAACAAATCTAAAATCTATACATCATGAATTTTTAATAAGCTAGTTGCCATATCAGCTAATTCTTCAAATAAATCTTAAAATTATAAAAATACAATACACAGTACTTGGTGTTTTACTTCTACAAATTGATTCAGAAAAGGATGTTTCAAAAAAATCTGATAATGTTTATATTATGAAAAATACTTTTGAATCAAGTAACAAATTACTTTGTTAATTATCAGCAATTGTTTTCAATAAACACTTTTTATTCAAATTATCTATGGTTATTATTTTATTATTTTAATGATGTTCTTTTTTTTACTTATAAAAAAAACTATATATATATATATATATATATATATATATATATATATATATATATATATATATATATATATATATATATATATATATATATATATATTTTAATGATCAATTTAGATTGTTTAAAACTATTTCTGTAATAAAAAAAAAGGTTTATTTCAGTTTAAAAGGTTTAAGACAGTTACTCTCCTTTTGATTCTTGGCTAATAACAAGGGAAAGACAATGCTAAATGCAAATTATGCCATAAAATAATTGAACTTTAGAACATGGGTATTCAAGCACTAAAAAGTCATGAAAAAGGTAAAAAAGCATATTTCAGTTGCAAGTAATTTCTCCTGTTTTTTTGTTTTTTTTTAAATCATCTGCGGCTAAAAATAATAATTCACCTGAAAGAGTAATTTAAAGATAACTAATAGTTTCTCAAAAGGAAACATTATGAAGCTACAATCTTTAGAACTTATTGTATCTACACCTTTTCAAGATGTAATTGAGAAAACAAAAATTGTAATTAAGAAACGTAAGATGTAATTGAGAAAACAAAAGTTGTAATTAAGAAACATAAGATGTAATTTAGAAAACGAAAATTGTAATTAAGAATCGTAACATGTAATTGAGAAAATGTAAGTTGTAATTAAGAAATAGAAAGATGTAATTGAGAACACGAAAATTGTAATTTAGATATCGCTTTAAAGGAGTAAGTGTAAAATGGCGCTTAAAAAAAATGGCGCATAAAAAAATGGAGCGTATAAAATGACGCACTTAAAAATGACGCAAGATTTGTAGCGTAAATTTAATTTTTTAGGGAAAAATTTATAATTTTTGGGCAAATGAATTTAACATAATAAACACTAAAAACATTTTAGGGAAAAATTTATAATTCAATTAAAAATTATAATTAAAAATTATATAATTTAAAATCACTTCATTGATCATTTAAGCACCAACTTGTACGTCTTCCATATTTAAAATAGTTGCATAGTGCGTGGTTGTGTGTTGTACCGCACGTGCACAATCTCCTCCCATTATAGTATTTTTCGCCTCAATTACAATTCGTTCTAAGTACTGCATGCGCTGTTCCGCAATCCCGTCACCTAATACAGGTGGAATGCAAATTGCATTTTTAACGTTACTTTTAATTTTGGACCAGATCGTTTCCACCGGGTTCAACATTGGACTGTAAGGTCCCAAACGTAACAACTGAGCTGGTGAATTATCAAACACCCTTTGCAAACAAGCGTGACAAGGAGCATTATCTGTTACGACGACCAAATCCTCCAAACGATTCCCGGATGTAACCCACTGGTGAAACATAGCCAACATCCACTCGTTACAGGAATCTGCTTTAAATGATCCCCTGCGAGTTTCTATCATGACGACATTTGTAGTTGAAATAGCTGCGATCAAGTGTATGTTTAAACCTTTTGAAGCAGGTACTTTCATAATTGCTCTTTTTCCTTGTCTCGCGCGTCCTTGCGTTTTTCTACAAAAAAGGTTAAAATTTGTTTCATCCAACCAAACTATCTGACGACCATTTGTGATATGTTCGTTGATGTTTCTAACATATTCAGCTCTTTTTTGTTTGTTTTCATAACTGTTCATTGTAAAAGGCTCCTTGTACACTTTTTATAATGAGAACAATCTGCCTTCGAGGTAATTTGCTATTGTTGTTGTGCTAACGTTTATGTTAAATTGTCTTAATATCTTTGTTTTGATGGCCACCAATGTTAATTGACAATCATTTTCAATCCATGTTAATGTTTCTTCGATTTGATCTTCGGTCAACTTTTTCGGTTTAAAACCTCCTTTTCCGATGAAATTTGAATTTCCGCTGCGAACCTAATTGTATGCTGTCTTATATTTGATACCTAGCGTTTGCGCGAGATTCACCCAATCTTCAAATCGCTCCGCACATTCAACAACTTTTCTCCTGTCATTCGGAGAAGATAAAACGTAACGTTTCCTTTCAACTTGTTCAGTTGTGTGTATTTCATGCCGACAAATCGGACAACTTGAATCTGGTTGTTCCAGAACTGGACGTAAACAAATTTGGTGACATATATGTTGACACGGATTTAGCTTAATCACAGACTTTCGGGTCATAGTGTATTGGCATATAACACAACGATCTTTCAATTCCATTATTATTACTTGTGCATACAAAAGCAAAATTTAAGATTATAACTTAAATTCATGTCCAAAAAGACCTTTTGTAACAACCTACAAACTTAGACTGTGAATTTGCTATTTTAATTTATGTGTTCTCAATTACAAGTTACGATTTCTCAATTACATATTATGATTTCTCAATTATATCTTACGTTTTCTCATTTACATGTTGTGTTTCTTAATTACATGTTACGACTTCTTATTTACATGTTGTATTTCTCAATTACATATAACGTTTTCTCAATTACATGTTGTGTTTCTTAATTACATATTACGACTTCTTAATTACAACTTTCATGTTCTCATTTACATCTTGAAAAGGTGTAGTTCTGATAAAACTTGTGCAGAAATTATGCGAGCATTGCATTGTTGCTTAAATAAAATTTCTAACAATTCAAACAAAGATGCCACTAATTTTTTCCAAGCTATGTTTCCTGACAGTGAGATTGCTAAATCTTTTCAAATGGGATCAAATAAAGTTGGATATAGCATCACTTATGGTCTTAGGTCTCATTTCAAAGCTTTACTTAAACAACAACTAAGCCTGTCTCCCTGGTGTGTTGTGTTTGTTCATCGAAGATGAATCCCTCAACAAGAAAACTCAAACTTGTCAAATAAAATTTACTCAAACGGTATTGGAATAAAAAAAAAATGCAAGTTGGAGTGGGGTATTGGGATTCCTCATTTGTGGGACATAGTGCCAGACTTGATTTGCTAAATCATTTTAATGAAACGATAAGTGATCTTATTATTAGCAAGGTTATTCAGGTCTATGAATAGACCCAGTGTCAACTTTCACAGAGATGTTTATCTCAACTTATTGACATAGGTTGCTGTTCTCAACACATAATTTATGGTGCTTTCAAAACAAGAGTAGAATCAGCTGAGGTTATGCATATTCTTAGGATGTTCATGCAGGGTGGCCACTGGTCATGGAAATCTTGGAAATGTCATGGAATTTTATTTGGTCATGAAAAAAGTCATGGAATTCCTAAATTTTCATTGAAAGTCATGGAAAATTCATAATACTTTTTAAAATTATCTTTAGTTTTTTCTACTTGCGATATTTTTAGGATGCAAAGAAAAGTACTAGTATGTCTAGTCTAAGTCCTTTTTGGAAAAATATATTTTTGCAGTGTAAGTTATCAGAGAAGTAAAACAAAAAGAGTTTTTTTTTGACATGATTTTAGAACTTTCTACCAATTAGTTTTTGGTTTGCATATTTTATAATGACCAAGTTGAAAATGGTTAGAGCATGGCATGTACTAAATATTTTACTCTAGTGGTTTATCATAAAAGTTTATGAAGAGTCATGGAAAAGTCATGGAATTTCATTTTCAAATTTGAGTGGCCACCCTGTCATTTGCATTATAGTAGATAGTAATTTTAAACATTTTATAAAATATTGCTAATATGTATAAAATGGTTAGGGAAATTCATCTGATTTTTAAAAAATGTCAGTGAAAGTCAGGGAATTTCATATAAATAGTTGGCTATGAACCCTGTATATATTCAAGTCTTGACTTTTTGTCAAAATTAAAGTATAAAGTTGTGTCATCAACAACAATAGCCACTTTAGAGATTTTGATTATTAGAAATATTATTAGTATAGATAAAAAAACAAACAGGAGAGATTACAAATAACTTTAGTTATAGAAGCCAGAGTGGTAAGCAATGCAAGGTGCATTGTGCACCATAAATTGCTTTAAAGGAAATTAAAAAGATCTTTTAAACTTTGAAATTTGTTAACAAAGACTACAGATTATAATTTTTACAGTATTTCAATGCAATATTAACACCCACATCAAGTTATATAAAACTGTTATAAAAACAAATCAGTGTAGAAATTCTTTTTGATTTAAAAGTCTAATAATTAGTTTCCAAAACAATCTGAAAATGGTAACCCAATTATGTTTTTCTTCAGACATATGCAACAAAACAACTGATGATAATATATTTGCAAAAAGTATCAAAAATATAGTTTTAATAAGTTTTTAAGCAACTATATTATATAAGTTTAACACATAATAATATTGTTAGGAATATTTGTTTTATATTTGTTAGTATTAATTTGATTTTAAATTTAAAAATATAATTTTAGACATCCTACATCATGCTGCTCTATGGCTGAATTGACATCTGTGTTATTTTTTCATACTCTAAAATATAAAGGTATGGGTGTTACTATTTTCAACTACTACATAAAATTATTATATAAGTTGTCATTAATGTTTTTTTGATCATATGAGACTCCTTTTGAAGATTTAAAACTTTAGGTTTAAATCTTCAAAAAGAGTCTCACATGATCAAAATGTATTAATAACAGATTTTTTAGGTGCAAAAAATCCAGGTTTGTAAAGCAGGATGAATAAATAAAGCAGGAATGCAAAAAAGAATTTGTTAATTGTTTTTAAATTTCCTGGTATAGATGAGCCTTAAATTGTAATTCAAATCCTCAAGGGATTTGAATTAAAAGAGTTTGAATTACAAAAGTTTTCAAATTGTTGGAGTTCAATAATATTTATTAAATTATAAAGGGACTGAAAAATTTGTTTAATTTATATAATCTTTTGATAAACGAGTTCAAATTACAAAAGTCCGTCTGTATATAACTCTTTTTTGAAATTAAACTTTTGAATACTAATAAATTAAATACAGTTTTTAAATGCCTTTAGAGTAAAGACAATACAAACTCTGAATGCCAGATCATGAATAAAAAAAAAAAAATTAAAAGATTTGGATTGTATGATAAAAGAGTTCAAAAAACAAAAAAAAGGAATAGAAAAAAGAAACATAAGTCTAATGTTTAGCATGTCTAAAAGACATGATAAGAAAACAAGAGTAGATTTCCTTATATCTAAAACTAATATTTTAATATAGATACCTAAAAAAATAAAATTATAAAACATAAAACTAATTATTCTTTCAAATATTTTATGATTGGTAAAGCTATTTTTTTTTTTTTTAATTATCTTCGCTTCCAACAAGGCTGCAAGCAACCACTAATTAGTGTTAATAATTACTGGAAGAGAAAAGATGAAGATTGTAGAGCAAGATAACGATTAACAGACGACTTAAAATATTGAAAATTATATGAATCAGGAAAGCAAGATGAGAGAAGCGAATTCCAAAAAACTGATGTTCGAGGAAAAAAACTAGACGAATAAGAGTTTTTGAAGCACTTGGGAATAGTAACAGAAAAAGGATGAGACTTAATTGAATGACGAGTAACACGAGAATGAATTTTAGTAGATGGCACAAGAGACGCTAGCTCTTTCGAGCAGTGCCCATTATAGTATTTGTAGAAAAGAGAAAGAGAAGCAACATTACGACGGTGTGACAGTGGTTGAAGGTTGGCTGCAAGAGTAGGTCCTACAATGTTTACAATGCGTTTTTGCACCTTGTCTAAAAGAGAAAGGGCATCATTAAAAGATCGGCCCCAGATGTGGCAACAGTATTCCATACAAGGCCGGATTTGAGATTTATAGAGATAGAGAATAGAATCTAGAGTAAGAAAGTGACGAGCTCGATAAAGAGAAGCAACCTTAGCAGATGCTAATTTTGCAACGGATTTGATATAAGGTTTCCAAGAAAGAATAGAAGTAAGAGTTAATCTAGAAGATGAAGGGTTGGAGACTCATCAAGTACATTACCGTTCATAAATATAGGAAGGTCTAAAGTATTGCGATAACGATTGACTGAAAAAAATTGAGTTTTATCTGAATTAAAGTTCACCAGCCACTGTGAGCCCCATGCTGTAGCAGAAGTGAGATCCTTTTCAAGCTCAGATGCTCCCTGCAAGCAATCAGAGGGAGTTGCTTCTTATTGTGACAAGAATAAATAGTAGTATCATCAGCGAACAATACCACCTTAGATGTGAGAATATCTGGAAGATCATTAATGTAAATTAAAAAGAGTATAGGGCCAAGGGTTGAACCTTGGGGAACTCCTGAGGTTACAGATTAAGAAGAGTGCTGTCCATCAAGGACAACTTTTATACTACGATTGGAAAGAAAGGATTTTATAATCTTTAAGATGTTTCCAGATACACCGTAAGAAGAAAGCTTATGGAGAAGACCAGCATGCCAAACTTTATCAAACGCTTTAGAAATGTCAAGAGCAATGGCCTTAACCTCTCCACCTTTATTTAATGCGCGATAAAACCTATCAGTTATTACTGACAGCAAATCAGCCGTAGAACGAGAAGATTGAAATCCATATTGATGATCAGAAAGTAGGTTATGAGATTCGAGATTAAGTGTTTGTTAATTAAAGATTCAAAAACCTTGCTTATGATAGGAAGAAGACTAATGGGGCGGTAGTTAGACGAATCGGATCGCTCTCCAGAATTTTTAAAAATAGGGATAACAGATGCTGCTTTCCAGCAGGCTGGAAAACAAGACTCTGATAAGCACTTGTTAAATAGTTTTGAAAGGATAGACGACAGCTCCGGAGAACACTTCTGCAAGACTATAACAGGTATGTTGTCCGGGCCGCAAGCTATAGAAGAGTCTAAGCGGGAAATCGCTTTAGATACAGAAGCTGGAGTGATACGAATGTCGAGCAATGGATCAACCTGTTTGACTGCTATATCAGGTAGAACACAACTAGTGGCATCAAGAGATGATATTGATGAAAAGTTCTTAGCAAATAATTCAGCTTTGTCTTTAGGTGAGGTGACAAAGTCTGAACCATACAAAAGAGGTGGAATTACAGACTTGCCCTTATTGATACTAATAAAGATTTTCCAGAAGTCACAAGAGCCTAATTTTTGTGATGAAATACGAAATTTCATGATCTGAGAATAGCGGGCTTTGGCGTTAGACAAAACCTTTTTACAATGGTTCCTAGCAGTAATAAACAGACGCCTGTTTTCTGGAGAATTGTTTTGCTGATAGATATGGAAGTAGTGGTTTCGATTGGCAATTGCAGCTGCACAATGTGAGGAAAACCATGGAGAAGAGTGAGGCTTGACCTGGAATCGTCAAGAGGGAATAAAGGATTCCATGCCAGCCTGAATCCACGAAGTTATGTAAGAAGCACATTTGTCAACAGGAAGACGAAAGATTTCTACCCAAGAGCCATCACAAAGAAAATCATGGAAAGAGTCCCAGTCAGCTTTAAGGTAGTTGTAAGATGTACGATGATAGGGGGATTCTGATGGTAAAGAAGAATGAGATAATAGTTTTAGAGAGACCAAACCATGATCAGATGCACCTAAGGGTGAGTGTGAAGAAGCTGATCACTGACTAGGATCAGAAACAAGACATAAGTCGAGTAGAGAAGGTAAATGGTTGTCTGGAAAGCGAGTTTAAAGGCAATGTCTGATATCTCAACTTCTTTTGATTGTTGTTAAACAGCTTGTAATTCATTTTATTGTAGATATTTATGGTATGATTTTAAGAAGTTGGTCAAATTATAAGAAATAGGAGTCTTTTTTTTTAAGGAGGAGGTTTATTTCATCAGATACATGAATATTAGAATAAAATACATGAAATTTAGAATAAAATACATGAAATTTAGAATTTAGATTTAGAATAAAATACATGAAATTTAGAATTTATATAACAGTTTGTTGCAACGACTTTATTTAATTACATTAAATTTAATTTGAAATAAGTAATTTTAATAAGCAGATCACAATCTCACATTTGTTTGACATGTTTTATCCAGCTCAAATTATGTTTTAAAATTTTTCAAATAAATTTTTAATTTCTTACTCTTCAGTAAGATAATCGTTTACTTGTAAACTGTTAATTATTTTATGAGAATGGCATCACTGACTCAAAAAAGTTTGCCAAGCAGTTAAAATACTGTTGGTTTTAAAAGTAGCAGTACATAGGAAAGGAAAGAGATATGAAAAAAAAAATATTAGATTGTATTTGTAAGAGTATTGAAAAATAAAGTTAAACATTAGAGTGTAGTTGGAAGAGTATTGAAAAGTAAAGTAAAATGTTATACATTAAAAAAAATTTGTTTTAAAATTTCATTAATTCAAAATAGTATTTGTAAATAGTAATTGTCGTTAAAAGTGTTAACTATCAATCAATCAATATAAGTAAATGGTAATAAGTAAATCAATTAAAAGTTGTTGATAAATGGGTTGCACTTTTAAGATTAAAAATGTTGATGACAATGATATGATAATATTTTAGTTGGTTATATAATTAGATTTCTTCTGAATAATATATCATCATCATTTTACATAATTTAGTTTACACAAACGAATTATAGCTTCCTCAAAAGTAAAAAGTTAAAAAAATTTCAACATACATAAATTTTATTTAAATTTTTTCCAATTGTAGCTTATTAACTTCAACAGGTATAAAATACATTTTTATATTAGATAAATATGAACAAAAAGGTTACTATTATTTTTTATACTATAAAGAAAAAAAAATTATCTTATTAACAAAGCGGTTATTAGACAAACTAGTTATTGCAAAAGAACTATAGTTGTAACAAAGGATGGCGTTTAAAACACTGTTGTATTAGTTTTTGGCTTTTTTAAGTAGAACTGTAGTATGAAAAAAAGGGAGAAAAAATGTAAATAATTAACTTAAAAATGTAAATAATTAAATAAAATTATAATCTTTGAATGAATGATTTTGAACATTTGATCTGTTGTTATATAAATCATTTTTAAATAAAGTTTTTCAAAATATGCTTAATCATTTGTTTACAATAAGTATTTAAGTAATGAATATATATTTTTTAGTTGAGAGAGGGTTGTAACCATAATAAAATAGCCTCGATGATTGTAGTGACCTACTTGGCCTTGGCGAGGTTAATAACATTAAAAAAAAGATAAATAACAATAATAATCTTATTTGTTTATATCTATCTAATATAAATATGTTATCTGCTTAAGTTTATAAACCAAAACTTTAAGTAAAGTTCATGTTTGTAGAAAATTTCTTAACTTTTTACTTTTGTCAACTCAACTAGTTTCTTCGCCCAACAATCATGTTTACCAAAGGTTCATGTTTCAGAGTTGAAAAGTTGAGACAAAAATTTTTAACCACAATAAAATAGCCTTCTAAAGTTTAGTGGCCTTCTTGTCATTGAGGAGGTGAATATAAAATCAATAAATAAATATGTATGATATTAAATATATTATTTTATTTTTTGTGTCTATATATAAATATGAAAAATAAAATAGTATTTTAAAA